CTCCCTTCTGCCCCTCCGGCCTCCAGCCTCCCCTCCCTTCTGCCCCTCCGGCCTCCAGCCTCCCCTCCCTTCTGCCCCTCCGGCCTCCAGCCTCCCCTCCCTTCTGCCCCTCCGGCCTCCAGCCTCCCCTCCCTTCTGCCCCTCCCTGCTCCTCCATGGAAGGTGGAATCAAGTGGCTATCCCAGCCCAAAAGCCCCAGAGAAGCCAGGCTGTCCTGCCCGATATGCTCCTGGCCACCCCCGCTTCGTCTTGTGGCCCCAGGTGGGCTCTTTCACGTCGGTAAAGGACACAGCGCCATGTGGTGCTCTTCAGGGCATCATGCCAGAGTCGTCCTCCCTCCCCAAGAGATGCTTCTTGACTTGCAGGTAGAATGTGTGGAATGGAGGCATCAGACGTGCTGCAGGGAGGCTATCCTGCCAGCTCCGGATGCCCCCAGCCCCAGCTCAAGGGCCCTTTGCCACGGGGCACAGTCCCCTGGGAAGGTCTGCTGCGCATGTGCTGCTCGAAAGAAGGGCAGCTGCTTGGGTGGGCACCCTCGGTCAGCTTAAGAGGGCTTGTGCAGGAGGGGAGCTGGGGGGATTGTGCTCCTCCACGGCCTCTAAGCCCTCCGAGGTTGCATGCAAACACACCCGGTCTGCTTCAGAGCTCCCGTTTTGCATCGCCTCTGAGAGACTTCCACGGAGGGTTTCCTGGCCGACAGAGGCAACAGGCATGGGGAGATAGACTGAGAGTCCCTCTCTGGAGCTGGGTGAGGCCTGCATGGGTGAGATTCTCGCTCACCTGCTCACACGCATGTACAATTGCCAGTTGCAGTGCACATTAGCTGTTGCGGGGCGCTCGGCCCTGATGTGGGTGGCTGCAGGAAAGGCAGAGTCAGCCTCAGAGCCCACAAGGAAAAGAAGAGGCCATCAATCAGGGGCACTTTTCTTTTGCTTGCCTCCTATTCGTCATAGGAACAAGGAGCACTGGCGATCCTACGGAACCAGTTGGCGTGTTTATGTTGAGATTATTTCTGTGCCACTTTGCCATAGCAGATGATGCCCGAAGAAGCTGGGACAAAATGCCAGGAAAACGCCAGGAGCATTGCCAGATGGATCTCTCCACGGAGAGGACTGGCTTGGGCGGCGGGGGAGGGGGGTGGATTTGCTCTCCGGCACATCCGTGGACTCGAATGAGGCGGGAACAGCAGCTCAGTGCACACCGAGCAAATTCCCTCCTCGGTGCTTGCACGACTGTGTCGCATTCCCTTCTACCAGGCAATTCAATTTTCCCTGCTCAACCATGATTCTCAGGGGTCCCAGCCAGCATAGGGATGATGGGTGTTGCAGTCCAACATATCCGGCAGGCACCAAATGGAGGAAGGTTGATGGATAAGGGTTCTGCCTCCCGGAAAGCTGCAGTTAGCCTTGCTCAGAGAAGGAGTTCACCCCACTTCCCAGGTCCCCACTTACCTGGTTCCATGACGCATCTCCCCAGGTCAGCCACTGCCCCTGTTTGTGCCTTTGTGGACATGCGTTTTTAAAAAACCAGTCCAGCGTGCACAGGCATGCCTCGGGGTGCAGTCCTGCAAGTTTCAGCCCCCTCTTCTAGGGTCTGGAAGTTTCAGATCCGTGGGGTAGCTGTATGGATACTTACACGCGAAAGCCCAAGGACTCAGGCCAATGGCTTCCAAAGATGCTGTTCCTTTAAACCCAGCCGAGCAGCAAACAGGGGACGGGATGCTGCAGAGCGACTGGAAAAGAGCTCCCAGCAACAGGGCTCTGTGGCTGGTTCAGGCAGTGATGGGGCAAGACAGACACATGATCCTGTTTGGGGCTGTGAAATGGTGGCAGGTGCCTGGTACTCCTGAAAAGCTGGATGAGCTGCGCTGTGGAGAGTGGGATGAGGGGCAGTCGCCAGTCCTTTGGGGTGCGGCGGCTGTGTCCAGAGATCTGGAACCTCTGCAGAGGCTGGGGGATCTTTCTGTCTGACCCTGGTGCGTGGAGGTAGGTAGGGGCACACTGCTGATGGAAGGAAGCGCACTCTAAATATGCTCAGAGGTGCAATTTCTCGTGTGTCTAGGTCAAGCCTGGATACTGAGAATGTGTTTTGGGGAGGTGACAGGGAGGCTGGGCGCTGCCCGAACAGTCCAGGAGCAGAAATGCCGCCTTCTCCCCTCTGTACACGGCTTTGCACAAGCAGCTAGAACACATGCCAGAAGGACAGCAGCCCTTCGAGCAGTTTGCTTTCCTGAAAGGAAACCGGTTTGGCAGGCACTTCAGGGCAATAATTTGCTCCTGTTCCCAACAGGCCAAGCAGCCAAATGCTTCCCCGAGTGAGCATCTCTTCCCTCCCTGCCCACGTCCCTCGCTCTCCAAACCGACTTCTGCCCCAGCCCAACAGGCTGCTGCTATGGCAGAGCTGGCCAGACGGCCAGGGTGGCTTTAACAGTGTTTTCCTTCCTCTTTGGAGCAGAAGGCTGAGGCTGCTGGGCCTTTCCGCTGCACCTGTGGGAAGGCAGGAGGACCAAGATGGTGAGCCTCTGGCCTCGCCCTGAGGCCCTGGCCCGCTTCTGCCAGAAGCTCAGCCGGGTGAAGACCCTGGAGGACAACATGATGGAGACGCCCTTGCACCGGTGCCTGACCACAGTGGACCTGGCCCTGCTCGGCATTGGCGGCATGGTAGGCTCCGGCTTGTACGTGCTGACGGGCACCGTTGCCAAGGAGACTGCCGGGCCCGCCATCGTCCTCTCCTTCATCGTTGCCGGCGTGGCCTCGCTGCTGGCGGCCCTCTGCTATGCCGAGTTCGGCGCCCACGTGCCCAAGACGGGCTCAGCGTACATGTTCACCTACGTCTCCATGGGCGAGATCTGGGCCTTCCTGATCGGGTGGAACGTCATCCTGGAGTACATGATTGGCGGAGCGGCTGTGGCCCGAGCGTGGAGTGGCTACCTGGATGCCATCTTCGACCACAGGATCAAGAACTTCACAGAGACCCACGTCGGGGCCTGGCACGTCCCATTCCTGGCCCGTTACCCCGACTTCCTGGCGTCTGGCATCCTGCTCGTCGCAACAGCCTTCATCTCCTTCGGAGCACGCATCTCCTCCTGGGTGAACCACGTCTTCTCTGCCATTAGCATGGGCGTCATCCTCTTCATTCTCGTGGTGGGGGCCACCCTGGCCAGGCCCCAAAACTGGGGTGCAGAAGAAGGGGGCTTTGCCCCATACGGCATCTCAGGGGTCATGGCTGGCTCTGCCACCTGCTTCTACGCCTTCGTGGGCTTCGACGTGATTGCCACGTGCAGTGAGGAGGCCCGGAACCCCCAGAGGGCCATCCCCCGGGCCATTGCCGTCGCGCTGAGCCTGGCCATGGGCGCCTACATCCTGGTGTCCGTGGTCCTCACACTGATGGTGCCCTGGCACTCCCTGGACCCCGACTCTGCCCTAGCGGATGCCTTTTATCGGAGGGGCTACGCCTGGGCCGGCTTCATCGTGGCCGCCGGCTCCATTTGCGGTAAGTCTGGGGGGCGTCTGGGGTGGGATGGCCTTCATGCCTCTCCCCTGCCTGCTCTCCTCCAGGGCCCCAGTCCATAGCTCCGTGGCTCCCCGAAGAGCCAGGCCCACCCACCTGCCGGGTTTCTTGGCAGGCTTTTTGCCCTGTTCAGAAGGGCTGCAGTGCCCCTCCTGAAGCTTCCTCACCGGTTGCAGGAGCCAGAATGGGCGGGCTCCTCTGGTATGTCTCCCCCCACCTCTTTGCCTTCAGCCCCACTTGCTACCCGAGGGCAGCCTCTGAGAGTTTATCTGACCCCAGACTGGCTCTCAGGCTGATGGAGGCCCCACCACCCCCTGAATGGCTTGCCTGCCTGCCCTGGTCCGTCCGTGGCTCCCCAGCCCCTCTGGGGCAGTTTGGCCCGGGGCTGCAGCATCCTGTGTGGAAGTGGGCTGGGGAAGCAGCTTCCTGCGTTCTTCTGTCTGCAGTGGGATTCTGCTGAAGCAGCTTTCGGCTGGGAGGCAGCAGGTGGGCAGGTGCGCCTCTCACCTGTGCCCTCTTTCTCTGGCAGCCATGAATACGGTTCTGCTCAGCAACCTCTTCTCCCTGCCCCGGATCGTGTACGCCATGGCTGAGGACGGGCTCTTCTTCCAGGTCTTCTCCCGCGTGCACCCCCGCACGCAGGTCCCCATGGTGGCCATCGCCGTCTTCGGCATCCTCATGTCCGCCCTGGCCCTCATCTTCGACCTGGAGGCCCTGGTCCAGTTCTTGTCCATCGGCACGCTGCTGGCGTACACCTTCGTGGCCGCCAGCGTCATCATCCTGCGCTTCCAGCGGGCCAAGGGACGCCCCCCCGGCCCCCCTGGGGGAGGCGAGGCGGGCCCGGCCCCTGCCGAAGGCACTGGTGCCGCTGAGCCGAAGGAGTACGAGTCTTTCTCTGATAAGCTGCAGCTGGTGAGCAAGGAGAAGGTCCAGCACCTGCGGGAGCCGGGGCAGCTGAAGGCGGCCTTCGAGCCCTACCTGAACTTCCTCGGCGATTTCTACCCGGGGGAAGTGGTCACGGTGGCTGTGATCGTCCTCATGGTGTCCGCCCTCTGCCTGTCGTCCATCTTGGTGTTCGGGAGGGACCAGCTCCACCTGCCCACCTGGAGCTACGCCCTGCTGGCCCTGCTCTTCAGCCTGGCCTTCGTGCTCAGCTTGCTGCTCATCAGCGTTCATGAGCAACAGCAAAGCACCGAGACCTTCCAGGTGAGGGGGCCGGCGCCCAAGGAGTGAGGCCCGGTCAAGCGAGGCCCTGCCCCTCCCGCCGCCTGGATGCACCCTCTCCTCAGGTGGCCCGGCCGTTCCCGGGAAGCGACTGGGCTGTGCGGGGAGGCTGCCCAAAACCGGTCTGAGGAATGTGCTTTGCGCCGGTTGCCCTGCCCATGGCTGCTGGCGCTTGGGGCTGCCAGTCTTGACAGCCAGTCAGTTGGCCTGCCAGGCAGGACGGTCCGCGTGCAGCCCTCGTGGGGCCCGGCCCCCTTCGCCAGCCCTCACAGAGGGCCCCATCCTGCCTGCGTGGCCTCATCCCCTTGCCTGTGCTTCCTCTCCAGCTGCCGCTGGTGCCCCTGACTCCCGCCCTGAGCATTTTCATCAACATCTACCTGATGCTGAGGCTGCACTACATGACGTGGCTGCGCTTCTCGGTCTGGCTGGCTGCAGGTGAGTGGCGGGCGCGGTTCTGGCTCGGGGCCGCACCCCTGCCGGCCCTCCCCCCGCCCTCGGTCTGGCAGAGTTCTTTGCGTGCCCGCTGCAAGCGCACGGACGGAAACGGGCTTTGGAGCAGGTGCTGGCAGGGGCCACGTGCCCAGGGCAGGGAGGGAGTGGCAAGGCACCACCACTCCGTGAAGGACTCCAGCAGGCCTCCGCCCTCCTCCTCATGAGGGGGGAAAACACTTAGGCGGCCAAACTCAACCAGTGAAGTGTTTTGGATGGTGGGGGAAGCACAGAGGCAACCCCAGGTGCCACCCTCTCCCTGCCTTCCAGTGGATGCCCGTCACCTCCTGGGCTCAGGGTTCTTCCCGCAGCTGCCTGGCATGGTGCCCTTGATATGGCACCTTGCGAGTAATGCCCGAAATCCACTAGCCATGGGCTTGCGCTAATGCTGATTCGTGAACGGCTCCTGCGAGATCATCCCGGGCCGTCCAAAGCACCCGCCTGCAGAGTGGCCTGCTCCTGGTCCTTCACAGCTTGCGGTGGGGGGGGGGGCGTTCTTGGGGGAGCTTCTGCAGGCTTCCCCTTCCTACAGGGGCCACACTGGCCTCCCTCTCTAGTGTTTACTTACCTTCATTTTTCTACTGCCCAATAGCTGAGGCTCTCTGGGCCATTAACAAAGGTTAGAACTAAGCAAAAGTTAGAAACACACACAGAACATTAACATAAAAGAACAAAATTGTAATGGCAGTTGCAATTGCTACTATTCAGCATAGAAACACAGCAGCTCTTCAGAGTAAAACAGAACATATAAAAACAAAGCTAAAACATTCAGCTGTTAAAATGATGGGAAATAGAAAGTCCTTCATGTGGTACCAAAAAAAGTACAGAGAAGGAGCCGGGAAAGCTCATTCCAAAACTGGAGTGCTACAGCCAGAAAGGCCCCCCTCCCGTAGCCACCCCCTCACTTCCTTGGGCAAGGGGGTCCAAAGAAGGATCCCCAAAGTGCTGTTTGCATTGTTTGAAAATGCAAAGCAGTGAAGGATCCCTATAACGGGAGCTATTGGCCTAAAAGCTAGATCTAGAATGACCAGTTGTCTGTTTGGTGCCTTGTAGAACTGGAATTTTAAAAATTATTCTTTTCCAATATTTTATAACTACCAGGTGTACCCAAGTCCTAACGAAGTGAAGTTCCACTTCAGCTCTCATCAGGGAAGAGAATTACTCCTGGGGAGGGCTAGAATTTGCCTTGAAGTTGGTTTTGGATTGCCTCCAGATTAGCCTCCTCCTGGCCCCAAGTGGGAGATGAGGGACAACCTGGCTTAGAAATAATTTCAGTGTCGGGTCAATCAAGCATCTGCCCTTTGTATAGAAAAAGTGTAAAACTGACCCGACCACCCCTAATGCTGAGGATTTAACTGTTGCAAGGTGAGCTGTCCAATTCAGAACCTCCATGGCAGCTACTCCAAGATACTCAAAGGTGCTGCACTGCTTGATTGTATTGCCAAGAATACTCCAGCGAGATGTTTCTCCTGAAGACCGTCCCTTGTGCTTTACATGGTTTATATTGAGAGCTTCTTTGCTGCAGTATCATCGTGACTGAAGTGAACGCAGAGGCGTGTAGGTACGACGAATACGGCTCCTGGAGTGACGTGCCACCATTTGCGCCTACACGAATCCCCTAGTGAGCCTACTGATCAAAGCATCTTTCCCTACACGCAAATAGTAGGCATGTTAGTACTGTACCCGTGCTATGCCTGCCTGCCATGCTGAGCATTGTGCAAGGAGCATTGCACCGTGTACAGAAGAAAAGGGCTGGTGCGAGCCAAGAACAGGATCAGCACGAGAGCATGAACGAACAGCAGCAGTCCAGCAGCGCCTGCTCCGTGCTCCCGGTGGCGAAGCTGCTGCCCACAGGGTCCCCAGCGGGATGGGCGTGAGGCCTCAGCAACCGGTGTGTGCAGGCAGGCCATCCCTGGGAGAGGAGGAAGTGCTTGGCTTGCCTGGATGGCCACCTCCCTCATGAAGCTGCCAGTCCTTTCTAAAGTCATCCAGAATGGTGGCCGTCACCACTTCCCCTGGCAGTGTGAAGAAGTGCTTCCTTTTACCTGTCCTGCCCATCCCACCCGTGAGCTTCATGAGATCACCCCAGGTTTGAGTGCGAGGGGAGAGGGAGAAAATGCCTCCCTCTCCACCTCCTCCACTCCAGGCATTGTTTCAAACCTCTGCCCTGTCGCCCCTTCCTCACCGTTTTTCTAAGCTGGGCAGTTCCCATTGTCACAGATGTTCTTCAGCCACTTCAGTCCCTTGATCCTTTTTGTTATCCTTGTCTGTACCTTTCCAACTCAATACCCTTTTTTCAAGTATGGTGACCAGAACCGAATATAATATTCCGAGTGTGGTCACACCAAATATTTGTACAGGGGAAGTCAGATCCTGGCAGTTCTGTTTTCTGCTCTCCACCTCTACCCACCCCAGGGTCCCTTTCTTGCTCGGTCTCTGCTCAGACGGCATTAGCGTATACCTGAGGCTGGCATTCGTCACCCCAGTGTGCTTACATTGGACTGAAATTGCCATTTGGGTGCCCACTCTCCCAGCTTGGAAAGATCCCTTTGGAGCGCCTCACAATCCCGTTGGGTTTTAAGCACCCTAAATAGTTTGATGCCACCACAGGCTTGTCCACTGCACTGCTTGCCCTCTGGATGATGCTTGAGCGTGGACGCCTGGCCCAGTGTGCTGCACAGAAGGCCCCGCGTAACTCCAGGCCACGGGTTCAGGTTCTTGTTGAACTTGCTTTTCCTCTCCACCTCCAGGCTTGCTGGTCTACTTTGGCTATGGCATTTGGCACAGCAAGGAGAACATGCGGGAGTCCCAGCCACAGACCATCAGCGCCCGCTACGTGGTCTTCCCAAGCAGCAGCCTGGAAGAGACGGTCCAGACCGTGCAGCCCAGCCCACAGCCCTCACAGGGGCTGGAGGAGACAGGTGAAGAGCAGGCCAAGAGATGAGTGGGCAGGCCAAGCCGGAGGAGTGCCTCCCCTTGTCCCCCCAGCCCACCTTTCTGCAGCATTTGGGCAGAGAGAGGAGCCACCACCCGGTCCAGCCAGGAAGCCTGTGGATGCGGCAAGCCCCCACCAGTTGGGCAGAGACGCCTTCCTCCATGTCTGTGCTTGGTCCCATTTCTGTTGCTGCAAAGCTGGACCTCTCTTGGAAACTGCCCGGCCTCTCCTCCCCTCTGGCTTGGAGTCAGGCATTGATCCACAGTGAGTGACCACCGGCAAAGCACCCCCTCCCCCCGCTTCCTGCCATCTGCTTGTTCCTGCCGCCTTCCTCCGGGATCCTGCCCTGGCATGGCCACTGGCATTATGGGGGCTTGAGCAAAAGGAGAGCAGCCTGCTGGGATTGTTCTGGGGTGGTCCAAACTAGAGTTTCTGGAGGAACCCACTTTGGTGGGCTCCTCCAAAGCACAGGCTCAGGGAGAGGGAAGAGAAGGGGTGGCGGGTTGAATTTGGTTCCCAGACCTCAACTAGGCAGGAGTGCTGGTATTTAGCTGAAGGCGTCCTCTGCGCACAAGTATATTGTCCCCGCAGCCTAAGTGCGACACGGCGTGGGCCCACAGTGGGACGGTCTCTCTTGCTTCCTGTGCAAGCCCAGGAGAGCGGGGCCGAGAGCTGAGGCGAACGGCCTCAAGTTCTGTGGTGCGGCCCCATTCAGGTAAATGGGACCCACAGAACAACCCCCCTGTGGGCCGTGCCCGATGCCAGTGGAGGGGGCGAGCCGCTTGGACCGGCTGTCTGGGCACCGCCTGGCTGAGGCTGCCATGCACCGAGCATGCGCCGCTGGCTGCAGGAGCTTGGCGTGCATGGGCAGCCAGGTTCTCCAGGCCGTGCTGGGGCCCCAGCCCTGCTCTCGCCAAGTGCTGAAGCACAGCTGCGCCTTCACCTGCCCTCCTTTGTGGCTCCCACCCTACCGCCAAAGCACAAGCCGCCTCCTTGCTCCAGTTCACTGCGAGGACGCCAACCGGTCCCGGTGTTCCCTCCGATGGCAGGCTGTTCCCTTCCAGCCACGCAGAGAGGGCCGGGATGTACAAACGCCGGACACATTCTGATGTTATAAGCCCAGTCTTAACATCTTTGAACAGCAGAGTTGGGCGGGGCCAGAGGCCAGAGGCCATCAAGCCAAACCCAGCTCAGTGCAGGACTCCATGTTAAAGCACACCATCCGCATTTCCCACCCTGGAATAGCTGAATTAAATTTTGAAGCACACTCTCATCTTGGAACCGTTTAATTTTAGCATGTACAAAGCAGCAGCCCAGCAGGTGTTTCCATGGAAAGGCAACAGAGGTGCTTCTGAATAGACTGCCTGCCCTACGGATCCTCCACCCCGGCCTCTGCTTTTGCAAGCACGCACTCGAGCGGCCGGCCCGCTTCGAGAGACACTGCGCTGCCTGTGGCAGGAAGGACCGGGCGCAGCCACTGCCCTGCTGTCCACAAGGCTGCCAGGAAGACACAGGGCCACGCAGCGACTCATTCCTTTACGACGCCGCCGCTTCTGTGGCACCTAAATGCCCACAGTGCACGCTGGACCGTGTGCTTTGTAGCAGGCACTGCGGCACAGAATTTGGGCATTATCTCGGTCTTTCTAAGGTGGCCTTCCCCAACCAGGTGCCCACCAGGGCAGGCTGGGCAGCAGCTCTCGGCATTTCTAACCAGCACGCAATTGGGAGAAGCACTCAAGTTACGCAGCTGTTCCCCAGGGGAGTGAAAAGGGCCTTTGCATTCTGCCCAGCTGGCCGAGCACACACAGCCCGATGTCCTGTCGAAGCACAGGTGCCAAGCCAGCGCCAAGGTTCCTCCACCTGGGGGGCAGGGTGGCCTCCCTACTCTTGGCGATCCCCAGTGGAGACTCGCCTGAAGGCCACTTGCCTCCCCTGGAGATGGGGTGCAGCCTGACACAAGCGGGCCGCACCAGCTGATTCACGTGGGCTCCACATCACACGCATGTGCACTGCTTTCATAGAGGCAGGAAAATGGTGGGAACAGGCCTTGTTGTCGGGGGGGGGGGGTTCACCCAACCAGCCTCCACATGGAGTGTACTTTTTTCTGCCTCATAAGGGGGCAAAGGTGCTAAAGGAAGCGAAAACAGCTAAGATTTAGAGGGCCAACTCAACAACCGCCAAGAGGCAAACTGCGGGAAGCCAAAGGAGCAAGAAGTGAGCTGGTCTTCTGTCAGAGACCTCTGCCTGCAGAGCGCTGTGGACAGCAATCCATCCCCTCCCCTCCCCGCCAAATCAGTTGTGGCTCCCATCCTTTCCCAGAGGTAACGTGGCTCTTTCTGAGCCTTCAGAGCCAGCGCTCATTGTCTGTGTCCATCTGCCACCTGCATGGATCCGAGGCAGGAAGGGCCTGCCTGTTTTCCTGCCTCCGAACCCCCACACGCTTGCCCTCATCGGCACCAGACACCTCGCAGCCCGAGTATCGCTCCGCTGCTGCCGTATTTTTCTGCCCACACAACAGCTTGTGCCAAAGAAGCCAAGCTCAGACAAGGGGTGGCCGTTCTGGGCTGGGCATTGTGCGGATGGCTTTGTGCCCATCGTGAGGCAGACTGCAGAAGCCAAGTGCGGGTGCTGCATCGGGTCGCAGGGTGCCGCCTTCTGCGGGTGCGACAGGCCCGTCTCCCTCTCTCGCTGCCCAATTCCAGCCTGGAGGGTCCCGCTTCTCGTCAAGGCAGGATCCTGCACAGCTCCTCTGGATCATCCCCAACAGGAAAGCAGCTGTTCCACACCAGGCTGCATTTCAATAGTACACCGGCCCATGGAATTAAAGCAGAGTAGGACATGCATTTTAAAAGCGGGGGGGGGGGAGGTCTTTTTTAAGGCATTCCCCCACACTGGCAGGTTCCCCACTGAGCAAAATAGCACTTGCAGCGATCTGGAGGCATCCTAGAAGCTGCGGCACTGTGGGCATTCCAGGGTTCAGTCTCCTGGATTTCAGGAGCCTGAAGGGGGGTCAGCTCCTGCCATGGAGGTGTCATTTCCAGATGTGCAACTTAGTCTGGCTGCACAGCAGTTCTCCCTCCTGAAGCTTCGCTGGGAACACGGTTCCAGTTGCTTTCATTCCAAAAAAGTGTGCACATGAGCAGCACATTCATTAAATGATACGGAACTCAAGAAAACCGTCTCCAGTTGGCAGTTGGATCCTGCTCCACACGTATCCAGTGGCATTCCCCACCCTGAGCACGAGGGTTTCACTTCATTGCCACAGCAAAACCCATCAACAGAGCTGCCCCTCCATCCATGGACCTGGCTCATCCCCTGCAGACGGCCGTCGAGAGTTACAACCCCCCACATTACATCTTGCAGCACCTAATTTTCTTAATTATGATGAGCCATTCTTAAACATTCACACTGTATTTATCTTTGGGGGTGGGGGTTATGTATTATCCCCTATCCCAAACTCTTCACTTCTATACATGAAGCTCTTCCCGTTGCAGGTCAGACAGCAGAGGTACCCGTGAACAGGCAGATGTTTGGGCAATGCTGGGCTAAGCGCAAGGGCAAAGCAGCACCAAGCAGATTGTGCGGGGGGGGGGGGGGGGGGGGGGGCCGGC